CTTTTTAGGAATCAGGCCCAGAAGCACATGAGTATTCTGTGGAGCTGGCACAGAACCCATATTGTTTGATATCCACAGTTTCTTGCCCCCATGAGCATCTGGGAAGTCATGTTTTGCACCAGCTGAAGTTCTGATCCATCTTCAGGCGCAGCCTGATGTAAAGTGCATTGCAGTAGTTGAGTGTGGAGGTAATTCGTGATCGAGCACCCATAGCTACTTTAGTTTTACTGTAGTACTGTTTACTGTAGTCAACATATAAACCTACACTGGCAGAAGGCAGTCCTGGCTGGCTGCACCTACAGGATGTGATAGATAAAGCTTTAACTCCAGTGGCATTGCTATTGATAGGGTGTCACATGAACATTATTTGAAATTTAAACCACTAAGTACCAGGAATACATAGCCCACCATATTACTAGCAGACCATTTAACAGCAGGGCTCAAGTGACTTTCTTCAAGGGACTGGCCAAAGTATTTTGCATGGCAAGTTCTAGCAGACAAAAGTAAAAATGAAATAAACAAACAGGTAACACACTGGCCAGGTAACAGATATTAAGCATTGCTGCAGCCTTCGTTCTTCATAATGGAGGATAAATTTCCTAGTATTTTAGCGGGCCTTGCTTTTGTGGCATCATGGAGGCTTCTGAATTTTGCATTCCACCCTGACCTGCCTGTGCATAAAAGTGATGATCATCTAGCCAAAGTTAGTCACTCTTATGTTTTATTGGTTTTCATAGCTGAAAATTTTATGTGTGCTTAATACTTCTGTTGAATTCAGAAGGATTTTGCAGCATTTAACTTTGGCTGACTTTCAGCCTTTCTCTTTATGTCTTTTTAAAAAGTTTATTTATGCGTCATATAGTCCACTGCTATATTTTTCACTATTTAACAAAAATCTGAATAACAATTCTTGATTATGGTCTGTTACAGTTTTTGCTTTAATCTAATTCTCTAAGCTTTTATAAGTGTTTGCAAGTCAGGTTTCATGGGATCCAATTTCTTTGTGAAGCAAAAAAGAGATCATATATTATGGTCATTTTTGAGCCTCTTAGATTAAAGTGTTGCAGTGAAATATTTTAGAGGTACTTGATTACAAAATGCCACTGACTGTTCAGTTATTTTTGAACTGTTGCTAAGGTTTGCCATGTTATGACACTGTCAGCAGCTTTAGTGAAATATTTACCTTGAAGGAACCTGAGTGCTTCCTTTCTTCTCTATTTTTTGCGAATGAAATGTAAGTTGCTCACTAGGTGGTTGTTTGCTAACATTAACTAGACTTGACTCCTCTTGAAATGACATTTTACATTTCATTCAGGTTTTGTTTGGTTTTGTCTTTGGAGGGTGACTTACACACACCAGATTTTGTATGACAGGGATTTTATACCTCCCTCTCAAGAATGAATTGGGGAAGGAGGAGACTGGTAAGACTCTTAAGCCACTGGATGTTGTAGGTGAAACAATAGCCTGGCTCGGGGCTCCTCTTCCTGCTAAGATACAAAATCCCTCCTGCTAGAACCTGCCAGCTCTATCCAAGCGGGTTCAAGCCTCTACTCACATTCTGGGTCTAATTTAGAATGGGAGTTTTCTGTAATATAATTCTAGGAAGTAATGAACCGATGGTTGTTGTTTATGAGGCATTGTTATACTTCTTTATATATAACAGCAATTTGAAAATAAATACAAGGAATATACAGTTTTAACTTAACAGCTGCACATGCAAAGATATTTATCCATAACAAACAAATAGATCTTTTGTCCTAAAATGATAATGGCCAGAAACCTACTGTATAAGGTCCGAAGCTCAGGACGATGATAGACTATTTCCCAAACTGAATGAATGTGCAGTGGGGATGGAGCAAACCAGGGCACTGTGGCTGAAATCCTGTTGCGTAGTGTAGCAAGACGGACGAGAGTAGACTCATGGAATCAGAGGGGATGGTGGTGAGCCAATTCCTCCATATGTTCCGCTGATTCAAATGGCTTTCTCTGGTTATGACCTACTGTGTTAAGCAACAGGATTTCAGCTCTTGGTTTGTAGATTTGTAAAGGACTGCTGGCCATGGTGGAGTCCATGGAAGAGGAGCCACAAGTTACCGTAGGGAAACCAAGAGCCTAGGCCATGGGGATGATAACGTGTGGCAAAGTATTTTCTAAAAAGAGGGCTCTTGTGCTACTTTGTATGGAAACCACAGAGTCCTATTGTGGCACCTTAAAGGTAATAAGATGTATAGTAGCATTAGGTTCTGTGGCTTTCACACACACCTCTTTTTTACCTCAATTAGAGGGACTGAGTGTTACTTTCCTCACATTATACATCACCAGATGTAGCCCACGACCTCCTCAGCCAGATGTTGTGCATTCCATCTGCAGTCTCACAATCACAACATCTCACCTAATTCATTAACTTTGATTGCTTGCTTTTCCTGTTTCCTTCTAGTTTTTCTGTTAGTCCTCCTTTTTGACATCGAAAAATAACACATAATATGTATACATTTTGCCCAAAGTATGCTTAATTCTTGGTATATTTTCAGTGGGGTATGGGGAAAAATATTAGTAATTTTATGTGGGACATCATCTTGGAAATGACTTCCTATTTAAGAATGCATGTAAATAAATAAAAGAAGCTATGCAGTGTCTATGAAGAGACAGGAAATAAAGGTCAGTATCCTGCATTCT